GAAGTCTGGGTTGGGTTGGGCTGGGTCCAGCGGCAGCGCGCGGTCCGCAGACCCTGTCCCACCCCGGTCCTCGAGACCGAAGGAGGTGGCCCCGCGGACCTGGAGCAGTGAGTCACCAGTGCCGGAGAGCAGGAGGCGGCAGCGCCGGTGGGCACCGATTTCCTGCCGGGTGACCTTGAGCAGGGCTCTTCCCCTTCTGGCCTTGGTGTTCTCCCGGTGAAGGGTGGTTCCCTCGGGGCCCCTCCAGACACCGTCCAGCACGGAGCCCCGCACTCTGTCCCCACCCGCCGTTCCCTGCAGGAGGCCATAGTGGAACCCTGACCGGAGACTGAAGAAAAAGGCCGTTTTCGTGACTGGCTGCGGTAGATAAACAGTGACACGTCTCGAGGAAACGAGGCCGGGGGCGCCCAGGTGGGCGAGAAGGGAGGGTGGGGGGCGTCCCGGAGCCGAAGCGCCGCGGGCTCGGGAGACTATGGGTAGGGACTGGGTCAGCTCTCCCGAGGCTGTCATGAATGCGCTGAAAGTGCAAGTTCATATCTGCAGAGTCGATCTGAAAAACGTGCTTAATGACCGACAAACGCGCTGCAGTCCTTTCCCATGAACCCCTGCAAACGGAGTCCGTCTCCCAGACCCGAAGAAATCAGATTCCGATACTGTACCGACCAGCAAAATGCCCGCTGCAGCAGTTCGTGGGAACGCTCCCTAGAAGTGCCCCAGCTGCAACCGGCTCTCCAAGACAAAGAGGAAGCGCTGCTACTCTCCGGAGTGGCGGCGTGAGCCTGTCCCTGCCATTATGCGGCACGGGCTGCCCAGGGCCACATCCTCCTTAGAGGGCGGCTACTACCACCTCCCCTCAATATCCATTAGGCAGCTTTCCTGTGCCCCCAACCCAGCCCTTGCTGCCTTAGGCAGCCCCCTCAGTGACTCCCACCAACCCCTAAGGAACAGTGGGGTCTGGGGTCTCCCTGAGATGAAGCCGAAATCTCCCGTGTGGCTTACATCCATTGCCCTGAATCTTAGGGCTGCAGAAACAAAGCAGCATATGAGGAGTGGATCTTCCCAGGTTCAGGGCATTAATTACTATATGAATGGAACATTATTCCATTCTAGCTGGAGAATTAACAGAAATAGCTGGTAGTTATTGAACATGGACTATACCATGGCATATTCCAGGCATTTTACCCTTAATATTTATTCCTCACAATGCCATATATATCACCTAATAATTAACGAGGGAAAAGCAGCAAAATGGAGGCTCCTTGAGGCTGGGGAGTTAGCCAGGTCTAGTCTCATGTGTCAAAGTGGGAGGGTACCACTAGGAACCCCAGCTGGTGAATGGCTAAGAATGTGTGCTGTAGAGCCAGACCGGGTACAAATCCTGGCCAAACCCAACAAGGTTGTGCTAAGGATTAAACAAGATGGTGGAAAGTGAACAGCCTGCACACAGTGACAGAGGGCAGGGACCGTTACTGGTTAATCTAGTAACGACTAAGGAAATAGTGGCCACTGTGAGGTCAGGAAGTTACTGTCTATTCCAGGCTGTGGGCATGCCCTACCTTTGCTACTAAGTGCCCTGAGCCATTCCATAGGCCCCGGTGGTACCATCTGTACCAGGAGGGCACTAGATTTTCTGGTCTTTAGGAGTCTCAGGGTCTGATGGGTAAACCCTGATGCATACACACTCATCTACACCGAGGAGGTGAGAAGCATGTAACCTCTAAGTTTGAGGCCATGTCAATCAATATGCAGTGGACAGTCACACGCAACTGAAACTCTAGCTGCTAAATGTGCTACAATGCCATATGCATTGTATCTTCTAGCTTGAGCTGTCTTCTAGCTCAAGAGTAGTTCTCAAACTACACCCCATGGGCTAAATCCTATTCCCAGCTGTTTGTACAGCCTTCCAGCTAAAAGTAGTAGTTGCATTTTTAAATGGTTGAAAAAAATCAAAAGAATGTTATGACATAAGAAAGTGATACAAAATTCAAATTTCAGGGTTCATGAAGTTTATGAGAACACAGCCATGCCCACTGATTTCTGTATTCCCTATGGTGGCTTTTGTGCTACCACAGTGGAGTTGAACAGTTGTGATTGAGACCATGGGGCCCACAAAGCCTAAAATATTTACTGTCTAACCCTTTACAGGAAAAGTTTGCTGATCTCCGTTCTAGCAGATTGAACCATGACAAGGATAAACATTAGCAGGTGATGATACAGGACCTTAAGAGTGTGCTCCTCTAAAGCGCGAAATGAGCATAGATGACCTGCTCTGACACAGGAATAAGAACCAAAAGAAAAGGACAATGTTTATCATGGTGGCCAAAAGATACTCACAAATAGTTCTTCCTTAATCAAAATATTGCAAATGTCTGAGATCGATTATCCTACCAGATACCTCTCCCTTTGTAAAATAACTTATCTTGGTCCTGGTTTGTCTCTCAGTCTCTTGTAAGTTAGGTTAATGTGAGTCAGAGAGGGCTGATTTGCCTGCCAGACTGAAGACCTGCTGGGAACTTAGTGAGCCTCTCAGTCAGGTACTGCTATCCTGCTGAATTGCAAATGAACATGCAGTTGATTTACATACAGGAAATTGTACACTTAAAAACCATGATCTGGGAGCACCTCCCCAACTTAGTTTGGAAGTGTATTTCCCAGGAGGAAAAAAAAATTGTTAAAAAAAAATTGTCAAAGCGATTATCTGTGTTCCCTGCACCCACACATCGTATATACTCCCCACTACCAATGCACATGGGTTCGGGGACCCACTCTTGCCCAAGCCTGCCTCGTCTACACACCACTTCCTTATTCCCACCCTCTTGCTACACCTAGTTTCTCCCTGAACTTCTCATACCCTGAAAACTGCCACCAATTGGAAAACCATTTGGCCTGACAAGATTCTCTCCTAAAAATGTCCACCTTTCCCGAGCTGTGGCCCAAGCAGAGAAGTGTGGCATGGACAAACAGCCACCAGGGTGGCCTGGGAGAACAGGAGAGGCACACATATAGGGCTGGGTGGGTTTACACCAATCTCAGGTAAATAGGATTATGTGGGCCAGCTAGGTATCCATGGGACTATGTGTTCCAAATTCCCCAAGGACTATACTTTCAGGAATTGTTTCTGTAATACATTACTAGAGAATGTTCTCTGAATGTGTAGAGCACAGAAAAATACAAAATAATAATAAATTCCAAATCAGCTGAGTCCCTGGGTGGCCTCCCTCACCCATGATCAAAATCAGCTGTGGAGGGGCCTTGCCACCACCCCCACCACTGCTGAAGATGCCCATCAGGTGAGCACCACTGTCCATGCTGACAGCACCCCTTCCTTAACATCCACCCCGCCACTGATCCTTAGGGGCCAGAGCCAAGAGGGAGTCCACATGGGAATGAGGGCAGGGACAAAGGCTTTGCCCCAACTCAAGGTCACCCTCTGTGCTCTGGGATCCAAAGCAGCTCTGCTGGTGCTCAGGGCTTCCTCTACCCTCTCACAGCCTTGGAATTTAATCCCTCTAACCAAACCTGTTGGAGAGCCCTGGCTGGGTACAAAGGGACAGCACACCCTCCCTTCCCACCTCACTCCCCACCGTGCGGGGCAATTAAGAGACAAAGACTCACTCGCATCTCAATGGACATGCAAACAGCCCAGACTGGCTGCAGGGAGGGGCGCATCGGGCTCTACAGCGATTTTCCCAAATGCCTGACTTCACAGTCAAGTTTCACCAGTCCCAGGAGACAAAAAAAAAAAAAATGAGGTTGTCGTGGCAAGCTTCCCCCCATAAGGCTAGAGTATTGACCTTTATCTTGAAATCATGAACTTGTTTTGGTATACAAAAGTCCTTTTATTTCATGAAAAGATAGTAGTGTTTTGTTTAATATGCTTACTTTGCAAAGTAAGAAGTTGGCAACCCTACCCGTCCCCAAACTAAAGAAAAAAGAAAAGAAATCTACTCATTGGTGAAATTCACAAGTCTGGGAACCACTGGCTATCCCAACAATATTCAGCCCACCCAGGCCCAGATACATAGGAATTTTTGGAACACACCCCATATGTAAACAGAAGCCCTAAAAATGCATTCTAAAACAATGTTTCCTCTGATACTTTTTGAGTTATAAGCACATTATCCCTTAGTCTCCTCCGCCTCTCCACAGCCTTCTTATTCTCTCCTCTCTTGGATTTTATAGTATGGCAAGGACAGGCAGGGCTTTGAATGCCATGCTAATGAGCAAAGATTTGGTTCTGAGAACAGAGGAGGAGCCACTGAAGGCTTTTAAGCATGAAGCAGCAGCGACAGGGAACTGGTCTACGGGAGTGCTACTGGCATCATGTAGGGAGAGAGGCTGGGGACTGTGGGGCTGGAGAGAGGAGTTTGGATTCCTGGTGTGGACGTGGTGGAGGTAGCAACTGTCATAGAAAAGAGGGGCTGGGTGTGTAGGGCTGGGTGTGTAGGCCTGGCCCAATTCTCAGGGCTGAGACGAAAAGAAAGTCCAAGGCTGGAGACAGATGATAGGCAATTATTACTCTGTCTGATGCAGATGGTTAAAGAGTTGAGCACCCAGTGTGATGGGAACACAGAGGTACGGCCCCTCTCCCAGTGCACGGTCAGCGTAGAGCTGACTCAAAGAAGTAACGGTTTGGCCTGCAGACGGCAGCGTGTTCTGAGAGAACCGCTGAAATGAGAGGAACCAGGTCACACAGGACTTGTAGACCAGGTGAAGACTGGACTCTACTCAAAGGCAACCATGAACCCCCAGGAGTTTTAAGCGGAGATGGGGTGGTGCTGCCGGGTGATAAGATCAGGTTGACATTCCATGGTTTCATTTCTCCACGGAGTCTCAAGACTCTGTTGTACAGAACCCAGAAAATGATGCTCTAGGTGACAGGAGCCATTCGAGTGAAAAGCTGGGGAGAGTGGAGAAGAGACAGGGGTGGGGGAGGAGAGGGAGGAGGCAGTGCAGAAGTCCCGGAATGCTTTGGCTGGGCTCAGGAGGAAGGGTGAGGTGGCATGGAGACTCTTCTGCTCTGCCTGCTTGTCCCAGAAACAGCCCAGTGTAGTGGGTCAGGAGCAGTGGCTTCACAGACAGCAGGGTCATCTTCCATTGCCGTGTTTCTGCAGAGCGACACCCCCCTACCACCACCACCACCACCACCAATCCCTCGTCTTACATGCAGCAGACTTGCTCACTCCCAAAGGGGGCCCTCTGTAATGTAATGCAACAAATTTCAATGAGAAACAAATCATCTCATCTTTTTTGATTCCTGTTAGGATTCCCACTGGTGGTTTGAGGAATTTTCTTAACCCACCAACAACCACACGATGGTGATGATATTGGCAATGATGGCCATGGTGACTATGATCCCAAAAGAAAAAAAGACGATGCCGAAGGCCGGTGGGTCACGACTTCGTTTCAAGGCTCATTATCATGGGAAGGCGTCCTCTTCCTTGGAAATGTAAATGCAGAACACCCATCCATCTTCAGGAAGCCCGTGCGTGTCAAGTCAGGCAGAGCAAAACCTTATACCTGCATGTTTTCCTAATGTGAGAGACTGCTCTGTAAATTTCTTTCCAGTGCTCAGTCGAGTTAATATGGAATTTGCATAAACACTTGGCAAGAAATAACGTATGTCTCTGTAATATTTCCGAGGCAGTATTTTCTTCTCCAAATCCTGACCTCTGTAGGAACAGGACTTAACATTTACCTCCCAAATGCAGAGTAGGGCTGTATTTAACTTACCTAGTGAAGTCTCCCCTAAGTAAGCACTCAGGTGACTCAAACCACAGAAACCAACGTTTGGTCTCTTTGAATTAAGTCTTTTCATGTAATTGAAGCAGCCCAAGAAACCTCCTGGAAAATGTTTCGGAACACAAATGTGGAATTCGGCATCCAATTAACAGCAATAACATTTTGTTCAAAAATAACTTTTGCAGACACATTGCGATGTCCAAAACAGGACTGCCCATTGCCAGCCCCCAAACCACTCTGCTCCTCCCACAAGTGTTCCCCTGTCTTAGTAAATGGCACCACCAATCTCCCAGTTGCTAGGGCCCCAAACCTGGGAGGCAGATTTGCCCCCCTGCCCTGATCTCACCCACTCCGTTACCAAATCCTGAGAACTCTGTCTCCTAAAGTCTTGAATGTGTACACTCATCCCTGCCCTGAATAACTGCACAGCAGCCTCCTCCAGCCCATTTTTTTTATCCAGCAACCACAGGAAGCTTCTTAAAAAGTAAATCAGATCATGTTGCTCCCTTGCTTAAAACCCTCCAGTCTCGTGTCCCAGGCCTTCCATCTCACTCACAGTAAATCCAAATTTCTATTTATGGTCTGCACAGCCCCACATGATCTGATCACGCCCCTGCCTCCCTATATAACTCCTTAACTCATTCCAGCTTCCCTTCTGCACTGCCTCCCGACCCCCAATCGTCACCTCCCTGACCCCACCATTCCACCTGTCTGGAATAACTTCCCTTCCTTCCTTCACCTGACTGGCCCCAGTTTATCCCTCATGCCGTAAAAGAACATACTGTTCCCAGCCTAGGAGAGGCTCAGGACCCATCCCTTCTCCCCTCACAGATCCTATGCTGAGTCCACCTTGACACTGAGCTTTGAATCCAGATGTGAGTTCAACTTGCTTTGCAATTTGCTGTCTCCTCACACTGGTCCTGTTTCTCAACCGTAGTAGCATGACGGAATCTTTGAGGAAGGTGTTTTTTTTTTTTTTTTTTTTCCTTTAAATTGAGGTAAAATTCATGTAACATAAAATTAACCCTTTAAAAGTGTACAATTTAGTGGCATTTACTACATTTGCAATATTGTGCAACTATCACCTCCATCTAGTTCTATAACATTCCCATCATCCCAAAAGGAAATCCCAGACGCATTAAGCAGTCACTCCACATTAACCCTTCTCCAGCCCCGGGCAACCACTAATCTTTCTGCCTTTACAGATTTTGCCTCTTGTGGACATTTTGTATAAATGGAACCATATACTATGTGGCCTTTTGTGTCTGGCTTCTTTCGCTGAGCGTAATGTTTTTGAGGCTCGTTCATGTTCTACCATGAATCAGAATTTCACGTCTTTTATGGCTGAATACTATTCAATTGTATAATAATACCACATTTTGTTTATCCATTCATCAGTAGATAGACATTTGGGTTGTTTCCAGTTTGGGGCTATTGTGAATAATGCTGCTATGAACATGGATGTACATACAAGCTTATTGTTGGACATGTGTTTTCATTTCTCTTGGGTATACACACGAATTGCTGGGTATCAGGGAAGCTTTGAAAACTATGTTTGCCAGGGCCCTACTCTCCAAGTTTTCAATGTACTTGGCCTGAGATAGGATAAGGCATTTCTATCCATCTAAAAGCTGAGACCATGGTTGGGCAAACTAAGGCCAGTGGGCCAAGTCCCGTCCACTGCCTGTTTTCATGTGACCCCTAAACAAAGAATGGTTGAGAAAAAGAAAAATGAAGAATATTTTGTGATACATGAAAATGATGTGACATTTTTTAGTATTTAAGTTGAGAGGCCAAGGTGGGAGAATCACTTGAGCCCAGGAATTCCACACCAGCCTAGGCAACATAGCAAGATCTCATCTCTACAAAAAATACAAAGTTAGCTAGGCATGGTGGCATGCACCTGTAGTCCCAGCTACTTGGGAGGCTGAGGCAGGAGAATGACTTGAGCCCCGGAGGTCAAGATTGCAGTGAGCTGTGATCACACCACTACACTCCAGGCTGGACAGCAGAGCGAGACCCTTATCAACAAAACAAAACAAAACAAAACAGGTTTCAGTTTCCATAAGAGTGTTATTGGCACACAGCCACACCCACTCATTTACATACTGTCTAAAACTGCTTGTGTGCTACCAGGTCAGAGTCGAAGAGAGGCAACAGACTGTATGGCCCTCAAAGCTGAATATTCACTATCTAGTCCTTTACAGAAAAAGTTCGCTGGCTCCTACCTTTGTCCACTCTCAGTCCTCTTGTTATTAGATCTTTCAGCAACAGTGGGTATGGTTGATCACTCTCTACTGCCTGAAATACTTTCTTCAACTTGACTGCTGGAAACCCACTCCTTCTAGGGCTGCCTCTCTGGAGCTTGGGGAAGTACTACTGGGGGTGGATCTGTGGGTTCCAGTGTTCAGCAGTTGAGGCACTTTCCCTCCCTCATTTGGATGTCAGTGGGGCAGGGGAGGTATTAGTAGATCACTTCGTGGCTGTGGGCAAGTCACTCTTCTTCTATGGGCCTTGTTTTTTTTAATTCTGCAAACTGAGTTGGTTGGATAAGACTATCTCTAAG